GAGCAGAGAGAGGGCGTTTATTTTACTTCTTAGGGAGGAAAGGGCCAGGTGCCCTCTGATGGCACAAGGCACCCCAGATAGAGGGGCTGTTCCTTTATTAGGGTGCTAGCGAGTGAATGGCAGCTGTGGCAACAGCATAAAGAGGGAGGAGGAACCTGGAATTCACACGGAAGTTTCCCAGCTCCCAGAGGCTGTGCTTAGAGCTACTGGCTGGTCTGCCCTTCAGCTGCAGGTGTCCCAGGGAGGGGTCTTTCCCAGGATCTTCACAGAGAATTCAAAAGGCGGGCAGATTGGGTTTGAAACCAGAAACTTTCTGCCTCTGATTTTCCTGGATCCTTAAACCCTCAGTGAGGAGGGGGGAGGGGAAGGGCAGCCTGCTCTCTCAGCCCCTATCTGTCTCCCCATCTGAAGGGAGAGGCAGCTTGAGTTAGGGAAGCAGGTGGATGGGGGTGTCAGAGAGAGACCTAGATATCCATTCATGGTTAGGCTCTTGATGAGATAAGGTACTATCCATCAAGTGGGAAACATTTTAATTTACGTATTTTTAAAAAATATATTTTATTGATTTTTTTACAGAGAGGAAGGGAGAGGGATAGACAGAAACATCGATGAGCGAGAAACATCGACCAGCTGCCTCCTGCACGCCCCCTACTGGAAATGTGCCCCAGCCAAGGTACATGCCCTTGACCGGAATCGAACCTGGGACACTTTAGTTCGCAGGCGGATGCTCTATCCACTGAGCCAAACCTGTTAGGGCTTAATTTACGTATTTTTTAAGGGCTACAATTTTCTAGTTGTAATTTGTGGTTTGTGAAGTCTGTGTTCTGGAAATGCATTTTTAAATGAATATTTTGACTTTAGTAGTCCCTATAACCTAGTTAAATGGACATTGATATTAATATAGAATGTCGCCTGTTAGTTTTCCTTATATTTGGGAAACAAAAAAATTTAAAATCAACAATATTTAAAACAGTTATAAGAATAATAACCATTATCAGTTTACTTAAACCCATCACCATTTTTGTTTATTTTTATTATTTTTCCAGTATTTTCATAAATATAGGTATTCATTTCAGTGTTATAAATCTTTATTTACTTTAAAGATATGACCTGTTTAGAAACCTATAATTTAGAGTAAACCAGACAAAAGGATTATGTTTAAACTATGTATTTAATTGCTTTAGACCAATAAAATATCACCCCTTAGTATTGCCACCCGAAGCCAAAAAACACACCACATACAATAAACAGATAAACACATACAGACAATCCATTCTACAAAGATGGTAAAAGACTTGTACATTGAAAATGACACAGCAATGCTTAAGTAAACAGATACAAATAAACTGAAAGATCTTCCTTAATATGTCCAAGTGTTCTACACAATAAATTGATTACCTAGTCAATGAAATTTTGACTGTAATTTAAGCAAAAGATATTCAGGAGAGGCAAAATACTTCAAATATAGGAAAGTTGGAAGATTCATTTTTTGACAGTGAAAAACATTTTACAAAGCAAGACCAAGTGTTGGAAGCTACCCATTGTCTTTACTATCAGAGAAGTGTAAACAAGGAGTGCAGAATGCTGGTGAACCTTGAGGCCTGGCAAGGGCCAGAGCTATGCACAGATTATTTAGTGGAGACAATAGTAGCTCAAGCAATTTCCTAACCAAATAGTCTCAGAGTAAATCTTAATTAATATTTACTGACCTTTAAGATAGTCTGTCTGTTACCGGAATTGCCTGCCTGACTAAGGGCTATGTGTATCCAAAATTGAATAAAAGGTTGGCAAGGCCTGGATACCAGTGGAAGTCCTTCCCCTTGCGTTGGACTTTCCACCTGGCCCCCATTATTTCCAAATTATTATTTCTTATCTTGTCTCTGTCATTTGCACGTGGCCCTTCTCCAGATCCCGAACCCTGAACCACATGGGACGTGGCTCACACAAGTAAGCAAGTTGGTGTGATCCTGGATTACCACACGTACATACACCAATGCAATGGAGGGGAATACCCTGACATAAAACCTGATGAAGCCTTACCTGCATAAAACGGAGCCTTCTCTGTGCCAGAGGATACAATCCACAGAGGCAAATGCAACCTCCAGAAATGATGTGTTAAAAGTGATCTCCACCCTAGCTGGTTTGGCTCAGTGGATAGAGCGTCAGCCTTCGAACTGAAAGGTCCCAGGTTCTATTCCAGGCAAGGGCACATGCCTGGTTTGTGGGCTTGATCCCCAGTGGGGGACTTGCAGGAGGCAGCCAATCCATGATTCTCTCTCATCATGCATGTTTCTCTCTCTCTCCCTCTTCCTTCCTCTCTGAAAACAATAAAATATATATATACACACACACATATACATATTCTATATGTGACACTCTGGTGCCGTGTCACATATAGAAAGTTTTTGATATTTGCAACCATAGTAAAACATATACATATATATATATAGTGATCTCCAACTTTTAGACATTCCTGTGGATTTCCTCCTTAAAATTGATAATGGAATGAAACGCCCTCTGGTAGTGATGTCTGCTTGTGAACATTCTTCTCCATTCCCAATGGTGAAGTTTGGAAGTCAGTGACTCACAGTTAGCTTCATATATATTATGAAAGTACTCGTGTGTTGCAAACTAACAGTTGAAAATGGTTATGTCAGGACCTAATTCCCCTCCCCCGCCCCACCCCCCAGGCCATGCAGGCATATATTGGTTATGAGGCTGAAGTAACTCTGTAGGAATTGAGATCTCAGTGAGAGGCTGGAGGAGGGGAGGGGTTTGAACCAAGAACATGACTGCAATTGGAATTCATGTAAGCACTTTCATTAAACAAAGAGTTGCAATGGTCTGTGTGAGGATGAAGAACTAGAAGGTGAAACCACAACTCTCCCTGGGTAGATGGGCAATTTCATACTCACACCAGCAGCCTTTCCTGCTCCCTTCCTCATTCTCTACGGAGACCAAGACTCAACATGGCTGAGTTCCAGAGTGTTTCAGAGGGACACCACCTGGGATATGAGACTTGGATGACTAAGATATATGATCATTTAGGACAATAGCATTGCTTAAAAATAAACCTTTTAAAGAAACTTGTTATAAACTGCATTACTAAAATAAATGTTGTGTCCAACACTTGAATTAAATTACCTTGAATACTGTTTTTTCACTACACACGTTTTTATTTCATCAAGAATTTGAATATAACACTTATTCCAAAATAAACATATCAAAAATAAACATTGCTGCCAAAACCGGTTTGGCTCAGTGGATAGAGCGTCGGCCTGCGGACTGAAAGGTTCCAGGTTCGATTCCGGTCAAGGGCATGTACCTGGGTTGTGGGCACATCCCCAGTGGGGGGTGTGCAGGAGGCAGCTGATCGATGTTTCTCTCTCATCGATGTTTCTAACTCTCTATCTCTCTCCCTTCCTCTCTGTAAAAAATCAATAAAATATATTAAAAAATAAAATAAAATAAACATTGCTGATTTACCTCAGAAAAAGTCATTGACTATCCTTCCTTGATAATAGTATCCAAATAAAATTTCAAGAATATGTACAGACAGGGTATTCTATCTCCTTTTATGAGGATCCCACTTCTATCAGAATAGGACCACACTCTTGTGACCTCATATAACCTTAATGACCTCCCTAAACCCCCTATCTCCAAATACAGACATATTGAGAGTTAGGCCTTCAAAATATCCATTGTGAGGGGACAAAATTCAGTCCTTAAGAGCGATTCAAGTTCATTATGTGTTATATAAAACCACCCCAAAACGGATTCTCTTAATGCAACAATACTTCAGTATTTCTTATGAGTCTATGGGTTGGCCAGGTGGTTCTTCTGCTTCATGTGCTATTGGCAAAAGGTTTTTCCCTAGATGAAAACATGATTTCCCAAAAAAAACCCAAAAAACACCATTTTCCAAACTTCCAGACGTCCATGTTATTCCTTCGCTTGCAGCGTCCACTAACAAGTCTCCTTCCAGCTTCAATCCACTAGCCAGTCCCAAGGCCATGTCACATGCATTACGTTTTTAATAGGGAGCACCTCAATCTCAGGAACTCCTTTCTCTTACAACTAGTCTTTGTTGTGAAATAAAACACCCAAAGTTTAATGGCTTAAATCAACCAAAATTCATCATTGCACGTAATTCCGGGGTGGCTGAGCCCTTCTCTGCTACCCATCTGGCAGGGCAGCTGTCTAGGGCCGCAGGAAGCTGGAATATACCGTCTTTGAAGATATTTTAAGTTATTTTAAAAACTGAATTTAGAGAGGAAGGCAGAGATGGAGAAAAACATCCACGTGCAAGACAAACATAAATTGGTTGCCTCCTTAACGTGCCCTGATATTTGGAATCACACCCCCGATCTGGCATTTGTGGAACCGGGGAATCAAACCTGCAACCTTTTGGTGGAGGGCACTACAGGCAAACAAATGAGCTAAACGGGACAGGGTTAGAAAGACCTTTGAGATAAACTTCTTTACATCGTGATATATTTGTCAGTCATATGTAATATAATGTAACATC